TATTTTTTTTAAAGATTTTATTTATTTATTTGACAGAGAGAGACACAGCGAGAGAGGGAACACAAGCAGGGGGAGTGGGGGAGGGAGAAACAGGCTTCCCACTGAGCAGGGACCCTGATGCAGGGCTCGATCCCAGGACTCTGGGATCATGACCTGAGCCGAAGGCAGACACTTAACGAGCGAGCCACCCAGGTGCCCCTAAAACCTACATTTTAAAACACCATACTAATATCTACTGAAAAGGCCAATACTGTAATAATCACAACAAAGAAAAGGCGGTTGAAGTTCTTGACAAGGCAGATGAAGAAGCAGGTAAAGATTGCTTCCAAAGAGGGCAAAATGTCCTGCTTTCTAGCCAGCCAGAAATGTTCTCTAGCCCCTGGACTGTCACTGTCCCAGATATCTTACTGTAAATGTTATGACAACAGTGACTACGATGAATCTCAGTTCACCAAACTGAGATTCCTCAGGATGTGAGGAGAAAAAGCAGGAAAAGGAACAGATAAAGAAAATCATGCTGGACTTGTCAAGCACATGAATGCTTCTGCACCATATAATATTATATTTGATCATAAATATGTGTTTTTGTTGTTCATACATTTAATCATTTAAAATCATGATTTTACTTTTGGCAATTTTAGTAAGGCTACAGACATTTCAATGTGATTGTTCAGATTAGTATATGAAATGATGTCAACAAAGAAATTTGTCATAATGGTTGGTGATGTTGATATTCAGAAGGCAATACAAATTTACTAATCTTTTCTCTAGACTAAATCTACTTTAGTAGTTACATTTGGTAGAATTGTGAAGGTTGTATCTCATTTCTTTTCACCTACATATCTACTATATAAACCACTTAAGTATTTATACCATTAGAATTCAAAGTGTAATACGATGCTGACAAGCATAAACTATATAACATCATGAAATTATATTTTTCCCATGAAGGTAGAATATTTGATATTTAGTGATATATCAGTGTGTATATGTGTGTATATATATTCAGGATAGCATAATTTAAAGATATAGCAAATTACACACTGAAGAATAAATAAGGTATTCTATCTTTGGCTTAAGATATCACACCTGGGCCTCGAGTCTGCTAAAGAGTCTGGCCATATCATTTATGGTGATTAGTGTATCACTTTCTATGTTAAATCATTCCTCGTATTTATTATGTCAATTTCTAATTCTCTTTGAATAGTCCAAATTTGTCTTTAAAAATTATTTAACTTTTCCAAATCCTCTCTTTTTCTTGATCTATTTCTTTTAAGCATACACAGAAATTTTTTTTTTTCAATTTAAATTCAATTAATTGGTGCGCCTGGGTGGCTTAGTCAGTTAAGCTTCTGCCTTGGGCTCAGGTCATGATCCCAGGGTCCTGGGATCAAGCCCTGTATCATTAGGCTCCCTGCTCAGAGGGGAGCCTGCTTCTCCCTCTCCCTTTGCCTCTTCCCCAGCTTGTGCTTCCTCACTTGCTCTCTGTCAAATAAATAAAATCTTAAAAAAATAAATTCAAGTAACATATAGTGTATTATTAGTTTCAGAGGTAGAGTTCAGTGATTCATCAGTCTTATAGAATACCCAGTCCTCATTACATCACATGCCCTCCTAATGTCCATCACCCAGTTACCCCATCCTCCCACCCTCTCCCCTCCAGCAACTCTGTTTGCTTTCTATGATTAAGAGTCTGTCATGGTTTGTCTCTGTCTCTGATTTCATCTTGTTTTATTTTTCCCTCCCTTTCCCTATGATCCTGTTTTGTTTCTTAAATTCTACATTATCAGTGAGATCATATGATAATTGTTTTTCTCTGATTGACTTATTTTGCTTAGCATAATACCCTCTAGTTCTATCCATGTTGTTGCAAACAACAAGATTTCATTTTTCTGTGAGGGCTGAGTAATATTCCATTATAAATGTATACACACACACACACACACACACCCCTTCTTTATCCATTCATCTGGGCTCTTTCCATAGTTTGGCTATTGTGGACATTGCTGCTATAAACATTAGGGTGCAGGTGCCCCTTCCGATCACTACATTTGCATACATAGAGCTTTACCAAATATTATCCTGTAATTTCTAGTCTTACTATTAAAATTATATTGGGAAAAGATTAGTATATGTGCTGCCTAAGTGAGCACTATATTGGGAAAAGATTAGATGAGTTTTATACAGTATCCAAAATAGCTGTACCACTTTATATTCCCATCAACAATCCCATTGTTACTTTAATTTGTATTTTTTTTTTTTTTTTAAGATTTTATTTATTTATTTGAGAGAGAGAGAGAGAGAATGAGAGACAGAGAGCACGAGAGGGAAGGGGATCAGAGGGAGAAACAGACCCCCCGCTGAGCAGGGAGCCCGATGCGGGACTCGATCCCGGGACTCCAGGATCATGACCTAAGCTGAAGGCAGTCGCTTAACCAACTGAGCCACCCAGGCGCCCTTAATTTGTATTTCTTTAATTAATTGCCAATATTCATCAATTCACTCAACTAATATTTATTCACCCATTATGTGGCAGGCTGTTATAGGCACTAGGGATACAGCAATAAACAAAACTGGCAAGATTGGCTATAGCCTTCTAGAGCTTATATTTTAGTAATATAAAAATAATTTATATTTATCATAAACAAATTCATAAATAGCGTGTTAGATAGTAAAGAGAGCCATGGGGAAAAAGCTTTATGGAGAAAAACAAAAGTGTATGTATGTGGGTTTAATTTTAATTATGGTAGTCAGGGAAAGCTTCACTGAGAGGTGACAAGTGAGCAAGAGGCCTAAAGGAGGTGAAGGAGAGCCATGAAAATATCTCGAGGAAGAGGGTTGTAACTGGAGTGGGCAGCCAGCCCAAAGGCCCAGAGGCAGAAGTGCGGCCAACAGTGTTCAAAGAATAGCAAAAGTCTAGTGTGGCTTCAAAGTAAGAGAGAAGACAGGTAGATACGGCAGCAGAGAGAGTATCATGTATGGCCTTGCAGACCATTATAAAAACGTTGGCTTTTGGGACGCCTGGGTGGCTCAGTCGATTAAGCGTCTGCCTTCAGCTCAGGTCATGATCCCAGGGTCCTGGGATCGAGTCCCGCACCGGGCTCCCCGCTCCGCGGGGAGTCTGCTTCTCCCTCTGCCTCTGCCTCTCTATCTCTCATGAATAAATAAATAAAATCTTTTAAAAAAAAAAAACGTTGGCTTTTGGTGAGATGTGAAGTAATTGGGAGCTGTAATTGTACAAAATGGTGTAAAAGTGACCTGTTTGGTCAGATTTAGGGGAATAAACTGCATGAAAACCCTCAACAGAGCCCAAAAATCGTTTTATAAATCTTCAAATTGAAAGATTATTGATAAACCAGTAGAGATTTGGGGCTGAAGCCTACTGTCTTTTAGCTTGTCGCAGTACGGACTTGTCACTATTAGCAGAGCTTCTGTCCTAGGCACGATTAGCCAGGGAAGAACTCCTTGTTAATCACCTTTCTAGGTAACAAACTGTACATTTAAGGCCTAAAGGTTTTGATTCAGGACGACGAAAAACACTGATTAGGAAATCCA